GGTGCATCCTATCTTAGTCCTCAGAGCCTCTGATGCAGATGCAGATGCGTTGTCACCTCTGAGTCAGAGGTGACAACGCATCTGCATTTCCATTTTTAATCGAGGATAAATGTAGATGTCTATAGGTCACAGCATCCACTTACCATCAGGTGGACTTTGTGCTCGTTTGTCACGTTTATTCTATAAAAAAATATTTCATTTGGCTGCGAAAACTTTAAAAACAAGTTTGTTTATAGAAAAAATCTTCAAGAGATTTATGAATATTTATAAAAGAAATTTTAGAAAATTTTTTTAAGAAAAATTTTTTTCTTTTATAAAAAGCTTTTAGTAAAATATTTATAACTTGAAGATGTGAGGAAGAAAGAGAGAGCACTGTATCGAAATCTTTACTTACATTACTTCAAAATAAGGTAGTTACTCTGTTTGACCTGTATATATGTGTTTATGTATGTTTGTCCGCCATTATCTCGCGTTTGTCTGAACCGATTTTAATGCTGTTTTCAGAAAAAGTATTTGTTACATTCTAAAGAAGGTTTTGGTATACAATAAATGGATACCCCGTGAGATCTGCATGGATACGTTATTAAGCGATATATTAGTTCACCTCGACCGATTTTGTTGATGCGGTTTATAAGCAATTAGATTTTTACTATTTGTTAAAAGTTATAACATTTTTTAAAATTATATTTTTAAGGGATCGGTGATATCACAATCCTTCAATGCACTTGCCGATGCTACTATAGAATCTCTTCCCCGATAATTAAATAAAAAAGTTAAAAGCAATGAGTATTATTAAATGCAACAAAAATATAATTTTAATAGCATTATTATACGCTTTGTAGTTTACAAGTGGTGTATTAGCGGCCCGTTCTAGTGTCGTGACAGATTAGCGCGCGTCGCACGTGCGGCGCCGACACGTCACTGTTACGTCACGTCGCATTACTCCTAATCGTCCGCGACCGCAGAACCGGCCGCGGTACACACCCTTATAATAAACTCCCAAACAATATTCGCCATAACAATGAAAGTTTTGCTACGACACAACGACAATAGACTGCGACTTGTAAAATAAAACCAAACAATTGGACATAAGATTAGGTTTTCAGTGGATGATTTCACGTTTTTAATATTGGTCATGTAGTAGTGATATGTAAAAATGAATCATATGAATGCATTTTAAGATTCATTTTGGAATGCGAGAATATATTCCGGTTTTGAGTCTGTAGAGAGCGAATTGGCTTGTGGGGATAACTGAGGACGCGATATTGGCGCAGGCACAATGCGGTCCGCTCGAAGTTGAATAGTCGTCTAATGGGGATGGTATAGTGTGGCGCGGCGTGGCGAATTCGCTGCACGTGCCGCGCGTCTAATCGCGCCGGTGTGGCCGCACCCTGCACTGCACCGGCTGCCTTGGCATCAATGGCAATCGATGTGTGTCAGTTTCAAAATCAAATGTATTATTTAAATGGTTTTATTTATGTCTTTTGGACCGTGTAGAGGCAGTGCAATAATATCCACTACCTAATATGAATGAGACAAAATAAATGAATGGGTGTGGTAAGAGGCGACGTGGGGAAATAAACTAGAAGACGGTCAGCAGCGTTTTTCTAATAACAACTAAATATAAAAAGCTGCGGTTGCCAATCCGCCTGCCAAGGATGGCAAATATGGCAAATATATCTTTTTTTGAGGCATTGGGTGCATATGCATGTCCAAGTACCCAGTACCTTGAACAGACATCCAAGGTATATGAAGTAATGTTTATTTAATTTATAATCACTTTTACTAATATGAATTGTAAGACTTTTTCTCTATATCTACAAGAAGTTATGGACTACAAGTACATGGCCTGCATTAAAGGATTTTTAAATATCCCGACCGGCGACGGACAGTGCGAGGCACCTGGGCCTGCGGTCGCCAGTTCACCTGCCGAGCGTGACGAGTAAGGCAAATGCTTACAACGAGAGGGACCCATAACTGGCTATGTTGTAACGTCTTAAAATTCCCTAGAATTACAAGTACGGTAGTAACAATAGAAGTTATGCAATAATTGTATGACTGTGTTAAAAAAATTGAAAGACATTTTATATTCCACGTGTGAGATAAGGATCATGACTTTTTAAATTTATAAATTTATATACCTAAGTAAGTCAATTTATGGCCCGCTTACTAAGACATGATATTTGCCATTATAAAGCCACTTTTAGACAATATAAGGCACCATGGTTCAAATATGTAGTGTATTTCCTTTCAGCTACGTTTTTTTTACTTATTCAAATTATGAAAAACAACCTTATACACAAAAATGAAAAGTTTAGCCATCCAGCAGAAGTCACACACGGTTTAGTTGCTGGTGATCTATTAACTATAAATGATTTTTTTTTCTTTATTGTTCATAGAACCAACAAATATAAACAGAAGTTCTCAGATAATCCTTAATGCCAATTACAGGTTCTTACTTTATATACATATATATATATATATATATATATATATATATATATATATATATATATATATATATATATATATCTATACTATTGCTTGTTAATTGACAAATTAATGATATTAATTATTTAGTGCTTAGATTTTTAAAAGTTATCTTAAAAATAAGTTTCAACATAAAAACAGGCAATAAGCAAAAAAGAATAATATTACAACAACAATACTGTCTACAATTAATAATTAACAGAAATGAAATTTATATTACATTTCTTTTATACTGCTGAACATAGGCCTCCCCCACAGTTGCCACGCTTGCTGGGCGGGTTAGCAACGATGGTATCATTCTTTATTTTAGATGTTAATGGGAAGCTGCTGAACAGGTCGATGCAAATTCTGTGAGGTTGTCACGCGCACTCTTGAACTGACGCGTGCCTTACGTTAACATAAAAAATATTTTTTTCTAATAAGTATTTAGGCACTTTTGATATTTATTTTTGAGTTTTTATTCAAGTATGGCCTCTCAAAAAGCCAAAAGGTACTGCATAGCATACGGGTGTTCAAATAACAATAGAAATGTCGTCTTTTCATTCTTTACTATTCCTAAGGATACCGAAAAGTAATATATTATTATTTATAGGTAGATCTATATAATTAGGTACTTAGTCACTGACACCATAGTTACAGATTTATTATTTGGTTAGTGACCCGACCACAGCTTCGCAATTTTTGATTTTTTCACGCATAATGCCAATGACCTTAAAATATCGCTTAGTGTAAGTAGACCATCCAGTACTGGTGACTGCCTACTAATGCAAGATCAGCATATACTGGTTAATGATTAAACTTAGCAGCACTTCTCATTGCCACTCTTTCATTAATAATGAAGTCGCGTGTCGCATGTTTGTGAATAGCAAAAAATGTTAAACAGACAAGTGACGGCTCCGTGGCACAGTGGCTTAGTAATGAGTTGCAGCGCTAAGGGCCGCGGGTTCGAATCCCGGACAGAACAAGTACTTGTATGGCCTACAAATAATTGTTCTGGGTCTATTCTATGTATGTAAACTGTCCCTGCAATAAAGGAGAAAATCCTAGTTTGGAGGTAACGTCTTTTAAAAAGAGAGGAAGAGAGACAAGTAAAAAAATTAAAAATTTTGTACCACCGACTTCAATACTAATACGTATTGTTAAGGATAATTCCAAAACTACTGTCGGATCTTCAAATTTATATGGAACGTATAAATTATAAGCACCAGCTTTCAAATAAAAATAGAATCATCAAAATCGATTCACCTAGGAAAAAGTTGTGAGGTAACACACATAAAAAATAGTTGAATTGAGTACATCGTCCTTTTTTTGAAGTCGGTTAAAAATGGTAAGTAGGTAAAATATCTGAGTTTCAAAGACATTCAAGTTGTAGTCAAACAATAAAGTTTTTATTATCAACAAATTGATAGCTCCGTGGCGCAGTGGCTTAGCAATGAGTTGCAATACTGGGGCCGCGGGTTCGAATCCCACACGGAGCAAGTATTTTAATGGCCTACAAATAATTATTTCGGGTCTAGATGTTTGTCCTTGTGCAATTTATGTTTGTTAACTGCCTTCACGATACAGGAGAAAGTCCTAGTGTGGGGGTAGTATTTATTTAACAAAATAAAAAAAGAAATACTAATACATTGCATAACACCTCGGTGTATTCTACTATATATCAACTAATATCAAAGGATTCAATTTGTTTTCTCACAACACCTAACTCTACAGTAGAAGCGTTCTTAACAAAGGCGCGTAACGGGCTAAGTGATACAGACACTTACACATGGACGTAAGGTGCATTTTGATTTAATACGCGTGCCACAAAATTTTTTTTCGACGCAATCAACTGTAGGCTAATTTCACGAAGGTCACTTCCAAGGCGTGCAAAGGATTATGAACATTAGCGACGTTGAAACTAAGTTTGAACTCGCAAGTTTACTATCAGAAAGTGAGCCTTCTGTTCTTTTAACTATTATTTATTCTGTGGCTGGACGTGTCATATGATGTTGGTGTTCAATGCGTTCCTAGACGAGTTTAATGTGAGGCGCGGCCTCGTGGTAAAAAAAAAACATGTGTGGAGTTCGCACGTGTTAGAAGTCAAACCTTCAGAAAATTGTAAGTAAAATTGATTTGTAATAGCCCCATCTACTTTATATTATAGTTACCTATGTCAGTGTGTATTCAAACATTGATTGAATCTCAAGTTGGAACGTGAAATATACACTAAACACGATTAATAATCGTGGATTATTGTAAATGAATCGGTTATGATAATTTTATTCAACACGGTTATTTGTATTAATTTAATAAATTTGTTTTTTTTTAAACTGTTTATTTTAACAGTTAAAAGTTATATTTAACCATCTTTAAAGCACCGCACAAAAGAGAGACCGAGATAATAGGAAATACTGTATCCTGTATTCTATCACATTCTCTCGTAGGCAAAATTCTATAGATGTATATGTTTGTCTCTTCTTAGTGTCAAATTGTGTTTCAAATTACAACGATTTTAAAGAATATGCACGTCACAAATTAGTGTGATTGTGAGATCTCAACAATAGAGACCACTCACCTTCTAGCTGTTCCTCTGAAGAGCGCGAAGAGGGTGAGGAGGGCAGGGAGGGCGCGCTGGGCGCGAGGTCGTCCGGCGGCCGCTGCGCGCGCGCCTCCACCACGTCGCGCACGATCTCTGCCAGGTTACGGTAATATTAATGTTACACTGATGATGCATTCATTCCATCTGACGATTGGGTTCAGTGAGAACTTCAACATATGGACACATGCACACCTACCACTAACTTCAACCAACAAAGGCTACAATGCGTTGTCACTCCTAAGGCTCGCGATAAATTGCTTCGTGGCTTCCAATTATCGTCTACTACATAGTTTGACGAGCTGTGGTAGCGTTTTAGTTTTGTTTTGTTGCTTCTGCCTATTCAAATTGGATTACAGTGGATTTAATTTTTGGGCGTCCAACCTATTTATAATTTGCCGCATCTAGGAGCAACTAAACACACCTAACCCTAGTTGATTCTTTATACCTTTAAACGTAAATATATTTTAACTCCAAGTGAATATAAACATGCTGTCTAAAAACAAATCGACACACTGTATGAACAATCACTATTCTTCATAATGTAATGCTACAACATTATTAATTTTTAGGGACGGGCTCTAAACAAAATTACTCATCACTAAAGTTTCGCTTACAAAATTATTTCCAAACTATTGTTTCATAAACAATAATCAAAATACAATAAATACATCATACATAGCTGTAATGTAGATAGAATTACAACTTGTACTACATTGAAGATTTTAAAGCATTTATGAGCTCTCTGTAACTTTACTACTCTAAGACACCAGTGTATCATACGGCATGCGTATACCCACAAACTAATAAGAAGTGCCGTATAACTACGCCATGGCAGTCTTGTAGCGAGAAATAACTAAGGTATTTCTCGCTACAAGACTGTAGATAATATATTCTATTCCGAATCTTTTTCTTATTAGTAATACATATATTTATAATAATGTTTAAAACATATTTTCATAAATGTTACCTGTGATGACCTCCCGACTCGTGATGATCGACTCAATCTCATGCGACACTTCCTGCACCAGCCACGGCATCACCTCCTCATTTACACCTGCAATTTGTTTTGTATACTTTAATACTTCATTACTAATCAAGTATTAATACGTGGAATATATATATATATTCCAAAATTGTGTTTTCATGCGATGGCCAAGTCAAACTATTTATTTAAAACATAAAAGATTTTTAATATTGATATGGTCACTATAAGATGTTGTTAGGTTAGGTAGGTTTTTTACAAGTTATGTTTTTGATGGCATTCTTATTTCACATATCATTTTACTTTCTTCTCATTCAAAAACCATAACTTTCGTCTTACTTACGTTCACTTTCATTCGCTTTTCTTTTAATGACCTGTTTATTAATGTAATCATCATTTGCAACTCGGCCGCTGACGACGCAAGTATGACTTGATCATCGGCGTACAAAAGGCATTTGACGGTTAACTCACCCATTCTTAACCCGTATTCTTTTAAAGTTTCAAAACAACTGTCCATAAATAGTTTGAACAGCCACAGGGAAGCCACATAGCCCTGTCTGACACCTTTATGGATGCTTGATGATGGATTGGATGATGATATGATTGATCCTGACAAAAGCACTAGAGTCCCAAAACAGAGACTTCAATACCTGTATCAACCCAGCGCTCAAGCCAAATGAGTTCAGTATTTGCCATAACGCATCCCTGGCCAATCTGTCATAAGCCTTTTCCAAGTCCACGAACGCACAAAAAACCATACCATGCGCATGGAAAAGACCTGATCCGTACAACCCATTCCTTTTCTATATCCCGCTTGCACATCCCAAATTTTTCCATCAGTTTCTTTCATAACTCTTTCAATTAGTACCTTAGCATACAGTTTTCCCACAATGCTAAGAAGGCTGATACCACCACTATATACCACTTTTCCTTTATATATTGGGACTATCACGGCTTTGCACCAGTCTACCGGTACCCGCTTAAGTTCCCAACATAAATTAAACAAGTCAGCATGTTACGGCCTACGGCTGCTCCCTTAAAGGATCCAATCTTCAGGGGCCCATGAGCTGAAGACCTCCCGAACAGACGTAGGTCGGGCCTTAATGTGGCCACGTGGAAATTCCTAATTACATTAAAATATATGGGGGAGCGTTATACTACGGCCAGTCGACCGGAAGGAATTTGGATGAAGCTTACTTACCTATCCAAGGCGACTGGTCCCTCCGGAGTCGGTCAGGTCGCATGTGGTTGTGTAGTGCAAGGGAAGGAATGGTGATGTGGTGTGTATCTGGGTGTGACTGATGGTGATTGAACCTAGACCTTGGCCGTCGGCAGCAGCCCGAGCGTCGACACCGCTCCAACTTGAGGGCGCCTTTCGAGGTAGTCCACAGTCACTTTCTTCTTTCGTCACGTTGCCAGTCAATTAACTCTATCGTACGATTTACTAACTTACAGAAGCCACTAACTATCGCTGGGTATAATGGTCACCGCACAAACGCACACGGAGTTTAAAGGGTCAAAGGTCACTACCGTTTCGCGTAGCAATAGCTAATTCTAGAATATCAGAGGCAGCACTATCTAATATTGCCGAATGCACTTATGCAGGTTTTGAGTCAGACACAATAAGTCCCGGGAAGCTCTCCAGTAGGAATGCGCGTCACAATGATAGACCGTATATTTACTGGCCGCGCCGAATTATTCCGAGTTCCCTAACAGAATGGACCGCGTGCTCACGTCAGCACCGATTATGGACGACTGCCTGCCCTTGGGCGTTTTTCGCACGACCGAAAGTCAAACCGGTATGAATGCACCGCGCCGAGCGCCCTCTCGCGTTAATCCTTGAAAGTGTTTTGCGCGAACACAGCAGGTCTGCTACCACTCCTTCTCCAGCCCTTAAAATTTCGAGAAATACTCTATCATATCCGGCTGCCTTACCTGCTTTAATACTTTTCATTGCTTTCATTATTTCCTCTATACTTATGTCTCTATCTATTTTCTATTCTTTTGGAATTTCTATTTCATTTAATTCAAACGACTCATCACTCATAAAAACGCTTTCAAAGTATTTCTTCCATCTCATTAAATTCTAAACTTCGTCATTCAGAATACAGCCATTCTGGTCTCGTATAGCATTCATTTTAGGCAGTTTTGAATGTCCCCTGGCAGTTCTTACGAGTTTTCAGAACATTTTAATATTTGCCTGGAAGTTATCCGATATTCTTCTATCATTCTCATCCGTTCTTTCTTGCTTTTTCCTTTCAACTACATCTTTTACTCTGTCATTTAGATGTCTAAAGACTGCCTTTCGTTCAATATCATTATTGATACCGCTAGAATTGCTAGCCTTGGTTGCTAGTAAATCTAGCCATGCTTTCTTTTTGGCTTCAACTTCCATCCGTACCTCATCATCCCACTATAACGTGTTATTTTTCCTTTCATTCGTTCTCTTACTTACATCACATAATTCGGTAGCTGCATCCACCAAATCTTTATTGACATTATACCACACAGTCTCCAAGTCTAAATTATTCATACACATTTCATCCATACCACTTATACTTTCTCTGGGGTTACATTTGAACTTCTCTTTCACACGTTCATCTTGTAACTTCTCTGTTCTTATACGCTGTAACGCAGTGGTAGACACATATGTCCGATGCCACCAACGTTTGAATAGACCATTAATTCGGCATAAGACCAAGTAATGATCCGTCCCTACGTTGGACCCCCGGTGAACCCTTGTATCTACCACCGCGCTCCTCATTCTTTCATCCACAATTATGAAATGATTCTCATCATCACCTCTTTCCCATATATACATGTCAATCTTCTTATAACGAAAGAAAGTGTTAGTCACAAAAATATTCTTTTCACACATACGGTGTAGAGCCTTTTTTTGAAGTCCCTGACTTCCGAGCTAGGTTAAAAAAACCTGTGTTACGGGAGTCAGTGCAATCTCTCTAATATAAAATGATGAAAAAATGACAGCTAAACTATTTTATGTAAATAAAGAAATTTAATTCTATTTGCACAAATACTGATGCCGCCGAACTAGTTTTCAGCATGACATGATCAAGACAGTTTTGTAACATAGTGGGCTTAGTGTGACTTGGAAGCAAGCCTAGCTCCACTGTTAAGTTGAAGTACGTTGTTCTTCTTTGATCGTTGTTATTAGCTTTAATATCAATATTTATATCACCAATTAGTACCAAATTTTTATTTGAGTCTAGGGGACGAACTATATTTTCTATAGAATTCAAAAAACTGTCAATACAGTGAGTGAGTACAATTTTAATAGAAATGAAATTTGTACCTAATGGGTCTGGTTCTTATATTGTACATTTAATACTTTTTTTAACATATATCACGATACCGTCGTTTTGATTGAGACATTTATGCGTAAAGTATGCATTGTAATTTTCAAACTGAGGAATATGTTTACAGGCACTCAGCCAACATTCAGTTAAGATAAAGATGTCACATTCAAACGTGAAATGAGATAGTTGAACGAGTAAACTATCTGAGTTTTTGTATATGCTGCGAATATTTTGACTGAATATTTTCAGGGAAGTAACTTATTTTTAATGAGCGAATTACAGGTTTCAGTGTCGCAATCGTAAGCTAAGGCTACGTTTATATTGTCAACTCTGTTGAGATATTTTCATTTACATCAATCAGCTCAGAAACAAGTTAATAGATTGGCACTTTTTATTGTTACAACGTACTTGGTTTATATTATTATGGAATGCAAGTAAAGTAGCAATTGATTTTATTTTTATGAGTATGAGTGAGACTATAATTGAGTTTGTGTGTTTGAATAGTTTTTGCATGATGATTTTAGTGGTGAATAAAGTGAGGACGCCCAGATGAGTGTGAGTATAGCGATGAAGTGTATCTACAGTATTATTATTTGTTTTAAAAATTGTTCTTAAAATTAAGTTACAGGATTGCCTAAACAAAATTTTAGAATTACTGTAAAAAACGAGTAACAAAACATGTTTTGAAAAGCATTTTCTAACTTTATACATGCCTATATTAATTATGTTGACTACATTCCTCAAATCGCTGTGAAATGACATTTCTGGATTGGGTTCTGTATTTCCCGTTTCAGTTGGTGTAGAGAAAAATAATTTTTCAAAATCAATTCTAATAGACCTGTCACCAGTCAATTTTCGCAGAAAAACTTGGCCATTAGTTGTTCAGCAATACTGGTAATTGTTATCTCTAGCATACATTCTAGCTTTATGGCTTTTGGAGCTTAGAGGTAGATATTCTGAAAAATTTACTGGTATGCGCTTGCCAGATAACCCAATAGTTTCGGAGTTGAGTTTTTCTTTTTTGTGTTGAATTATGTTTTTAGCGCGCACCGTTACAAATTCAGCCACAATGGTTTTATTCGTTCCAGGTTTGCCCGTTAGGAGGTAAACATCCCGCACTTCATCAGGTTGAATGGGAATATGCAGAGCATTACCTACGCTGCTTACTATGGAAAGCAGATCATCGGTCGCCTCCTTTTCTTGCGGGATTTAATTTGTCGACCTTGAATTTTTCTTTCCATGTTCATTAAATTTTCAGTGTACTCCGTACGTTCTCTTTCTAATTTCGCTATCTTTTTCCTCATTTCATCATATTCTGATGAGGAAAATTTCATAAACTTGCGTATTTCCAAGTTAGTTTCTTGTATAGCGCTATTTTGCAGTTTCAAATCGGAAATCTCGGTAATCAATTTCGAAAACTTTGGGTCTTGTTCAGCTGCCCAGTTCTTAAACATCTGTTGAATATCTTTTGTCAGCCTTGAATATTCAGCTAATGGGGATCCGTCAAGACGCGGACTCTTCGTGCGTGTAGGAACGTTGGAGGTTTCAATTTCATCTTCGTAGCGCATGGCACTAACCATATCGGGCTCAGATTGCACTCGAAGTAATCCACTCTCGGACGTAGGCGGCGGAGTACGTTGCACAAGTGACATTTTAATATATTTTTTTAGGATTTTATATTATATTGGTTACAAATAAATTAAAAACTTGAAAGAACTCCGAAGATGTAATTTGGTAGAATGTCACCTTTATATCATGGTAACATTAATGAACGAAGTGACCATAGATAAAACATATGTAGCAAGCCAAGTGACGTGTCGAGTTTACAGTGACAGCAGATGTCACGTAAACAGTGTCAAGATGTCAATAACATGTAAATATAACTTTTATATTCGAGGGTAGAAAATAATTTAACTTTATGCCGGAAAGAAATCAAAGTTTTAGATCACAGTTTTTACACGTTTCACAGTTGGTTTTGATTCTGGAAAACACTAATGTAGAGTCTTAGATACTTTCACGGGAGTTTAAGTTTATTTTAGAGCACAGAATCACAGTGTTTGCACTTTTCAGAAATAAAATTTTCAGAGCCTATGTGCTTCAATCAACGACTTGACAGGAGATCATACTCTTTAACACAATGACCCATTCTTTCTGAAAGGATGATACCGACTTCCTGGCATGCCCGCTCCGTCTCTTCTACACCAGACCAGTACGCGGTGTACATGCCATGTGTAGTGGCATCCTTTCCCTTCCGTTTCGTCTCATTTACACATAACACATTATTCGTCTAACGTACATCATATCGGATACTTCATCCATCTTATCATTCATTGCTCCACATACATTCAACATAGAAAAACGGGCTTCTGCAATCCAGTTTTCGCCCCTCTGGGGGACAGAACGTGACGGGTGGCGAACCTCGTCGCCGGTTTTCCTCCCGGAGATTCTTCGCACCCCTGCACCATTAAAAGAGCGCCGGAAACTCGGGGCCATTTCGTAACATTTTTACCATTTGTATTGTTTGCGCCGCTACCACACGGCGAGGAGCCGAGTCTGTTCTTTCGGCTTTGTCACTTGTTTAGCACCACCCGGTGGACATGTGTAGGGTGCGCCTAGCATTAGGTGGTCGAAGCCTACGAACGCGAGCGACTCATCCCCCGTGGATAAGTTCAAATTTTTTCTTTATTATCCAATAAAGATGTGCCCTATGTGTCTAGATCCCTCCAAGTACTGCTCTATATCTGTTCGTAGAATTTCATCACAATCAGTTCAGCCATTTTGAAGAATATTCCGGACTATTCATACATTATTACATCTATAATTAAAATTTATAGTAGGCTTATTTCTAAATATACAATCACTTAAAGATAATCACTGTATATTTACAATTTTACTTTACCTAAAGAATCCTTATATTTAAAGAGTTTTATGTGGTAGAGTCATACTGCAGCTATATTGTGCCTGCAGCACGAATGGGTCGGCTCGACCGGGGTCAGGATCAAGCTCTCACAGAACACAAGTATAAACAGCAGTGTGATGTTGTGTTTCGTAAGGTGAGTATAGAGAACCATACGAAATACAGCATTCTCGGTATGACAGGCATTCCATTTAAGTTCTCAGGGGTGACAATGCATCTGCATTTTAATACTTAATCGAGGATAGATGTATCTATATAGACATATGTGGCCTACCACAATATCCACTAACCTAGAGGTAGACCGTGTGTCCTCTATGGTGTGTTCGTTTGTCAATCTTATTTTGTAAAAAACAAACATGTGTGCAGTTCACAGGCAGTAGAAGTGAAATCTTATTTATTTTTTATTTATAAAAGTTTATTATTAATTCTTTTCTTATTATTAATTTATCGAGATCTAATAATCTTGCAGGCTAAGGCCTTTAATGTATATTATGTTTGTATCTTTTTAGTGTCGTTTTTTCTTGTGTGTCTATGTCTGTGTGTGTGTCTCTCTCTCTCTCTCTCTGTTTGAGTGTGTGTGTGTGTGTGTGTGTGTGTGTGTGTGTGTGTGTGTGTGTGTGTGTGTGTGTGTGTGTGTGTGTGTGTGTGTGTGTGTGCGTGTTTGTATGCTATATGGTTTCAATCCAGTGTGTAGAGAAAGGTAGATGAGTGCAAGTGCAAGTAGTGCAGAAGTAGTGACCGGCGTGCAGCGAGTCGAGCAGGTAGCCGTGTTCGCGCAGGCCGGCCAGCACGGCGGGCAGCAGGCCGGCCAGCCAGCCGCGCAGCAGCGTCGCGCCCGCCGCGCGCGCCCGCGCCTCCTCCGCCGCGCGCGCGCTGCGCCGAGCTTCCGCCACGCGCCGCTCCTGCGGCATCACACACACCGTCTACTCACAACTCTCATCTTTGCATCATCACTGACCCACCGATCTCTTCCTGTACAGTGCAATTACTGTTACTCTTTGCCGACATCCTTTATACGGAATGAGTATAAATAGTACATAAAACACACTGAAAGTTTTGCGCTTCTGGCCGCTCATAAATTTGTTTGAATTTCGAATGTAATATTTTTAAAACATAAGAAACTTACTAATATATTTATGAAAATAGTATTTGGGGAGAAGACATCTTCTTTTACCAACTGCTCTAGAAGGAGTGTAATGTTTTTCGAATGTATGTATGTACGTCTATTTATTTGGCACGCAGTGTCGTTTAATTCGCCATAGTTGTAGAAATGACAGGGTATAAAAACATTATCTTTTCAGTAAACTTTTACTGCGCCCCCTTTTCGCTAAAGAGGGTCGCTTCCGAAAGGCCACCTAAGCCAATGTCAGGCTCACAGGTGGTGTTTAGTGGGTAAGCATTTAGGTTAAGACGCACGCATTGAGTCCCATATAACCACGCAGCCGGGTGTCGTGGTATGCTTAGAGCATTCACCACCTCCCTTCCCCGCTTCCCAGAGGGTAGCCCTTTTCATTGCTTCTGGGCGCAAAAGAAAAGTAAACTTTTTGCGCAGTAGATTTTTTTAATTACTTTATTAAGAGGACTATGTAGTTGTAAATACAAAAAGCGATTACGTTTTCTCCCCCGTAAACATTCTATAGTCAAATTTTCATAATTTTTGGAAATGTAGATGTAATCAAAAACTAAATCCATACGTTTTTATTTTAAAGAAGTATTGCGTACGATATAAGTTTTTAGCATTTTAATAATCTATTTTTTTGACTTAAAAACTTCCTCGAGCGTCTTAATATGTTTTTAATTACACTAAACATACTATAAAAACGCACAGACTGATATTAAGGTGTTCTGAATCTAATGAAAACAAAATTGTCTCATTTCGTAAACGTTTAGGGAAATGAAAACTGTATCGCCCGAAACAATATTTCAAAAAGGAAATCTAAGCAGATGCCTCCAAGACTTGCAACTCTCTCTATCACACCATACGGCGACATTTTGAGAATGAAAGTTAGTTCCCGCCATATATTTTTAAATAATAATAATAAAAATTTCAAAAGAAATTAATAAAAGAATAGCTAATAGGTGGAAAAATACTGGTCCCAAATCAACTGAACTAAGCACAGAAATTAAACGAAAGTTTTTGATACCTGCATTCTTCCCTGCCTCACTTACGATTGTGAAACCTGGTTCCTCACAAAACATCACAGGGATATTCTAGAACATTGTCAAAGAGCTATGGAAAGGAGCATGATTGTCGTTAAAAACAGGACAGAAAAAGAAACACCTTTATACGATCAAAAAGTAGAGTAACAGACGTGCTTTTAAAGATAGTCCAACTAAAGTGGAGATGGACGGGCCATATAATGCGAAGTACTCAAGAAAAGTGGAGCAAGATTATTACTGATTGGTATCCTAGAGATGGTAAAAGAAAAAAAGGAAGGCAAGGGAAAAGATGGGAGGAAGAGATAAAATTAACAGCTGGTCCAAATTGGAGAAGGGTTGCTAGAGATAGAAAGCAATGGAAGATGTCAGATAGTTACATTCTGTAAACATCACAATAATTTAGACAACCATCGAAAATGTTCAGGATAAAAGGCTTATTGATTGATTGATCGATTGAATAAAAATTTCAATATATCCAAAAATGTGTGGCATCTTTATTTGCTTGAGTTTTATGTGGATTACAATAGTAACTTCTCATCAGACAGATTATGACCACAGACAAAAGCATGCAACAGCTGTTTGAATAATTAATACTTCAGAGGTGATAACGTATCTGTATTTTAATTCATAATCAGGAACAGATGTAATCGGGTAAAAGCCACAACATCTACTTACCATCAGGTGGACTGGGTTTCGTTTATCATAATTTCTTATAGGCACACAATGTGAATGAAAGTAATGTGACAACTCCTGTGTTTTACTTGGAGCCTGGTGGATCAATTAATTTACTTCTTAGCGGAAGTGTATCTTGGTAAGGCTAAAGAAGTTATTATTTCAATATCGTGAGGAAAACAAATACCTGAAGGCTGAGGCCTGAATTTGAATGACAGGATTTGAACGTGGTAGAGCCATGCTGCAGCTATATTAGTGGTATAGTTGTAGCACGAATGGGTCGGCTCGACCGGGGAAGGACCACGCTCTCACAGAATACCAGCGTAAAATAGCAGCGGTACGCTGCTGTGTTTCGTATGATGAGTGTAGAGAACAGGATACCCTTTTTACTGGAAACGAGGCATTCCATCTTAATCCTCACGGGTGACGGGGCATCTGCACTTTGATTCGTAATCGAGAATAGAACCACAGCAACCACTTACCATCAGGTGGACTGTGCGCTCGTTTTTCAACCTTATTCTCTAAAAAAAGGATGAGAAATTCTGTGATAAGAGATAAGTGTGCTTTTCAAGATGGGGTTGTGACCAGGAATAAGAAAAGAATGCTTTGGTGGTTTGCTTATGTAGAAAGAATGAATAAGGAAAAAGTGATAAAGCATATTTATATTGCAGAAGTGAGCGGCAGAGTCAGCCAGGGACACCCCTGACGAAAGTTCAGCGACCAAATTGCCGATATATTGAACATGAGCCAAGTTATAAGTACCCTTAACCGTCGAGTAAGTATGCTTAGATATATGAATGTAAGGGAGGCGAGAGAGGTGTGTCCGGATTATGCCAAATACTGTTATTTAGTTTTTTTTATAGAATGCAATGCGAGAATGCGGCTCACATGATGGAAAGTGTCGGTCGCCGCCCTCGAACAACTGCAACACTAGGGGAGTTGCAATTGCGTAGCCGGTATTTTAAAGAGGAGAAAGCTCGTTTCTTGAATGTCCCTTAGTCATGTCGGTCTGAAATTGTTGCTAGTTGTAAACGATTCCACACGTAAGTCGTGCGAGAAAGAAAATTCATAGTAAATCGGACAGTAGTGGACCGTCAAGCATCCAGAAGGATCGAGAATTTTATGGCGATGTGCATGTCGTAGTCTCTGCCTACCTCTCTGGGTGACAAGCGTGACTTTATGTTATGTTTATGTTATGTTTTTAAACAAATACCTTCTCGTTGTGCAGGCGTACGTGCTGTGCAGCGAGTCGCTGCCGCTCTGCGCGCTCGGCGTCACGAAGTTCCACGTAGCGGCGCTGCTGCTCGCGCAGAGTCTCCAGCTCTTCTTCCTGAGCCACTTCGGCGAGCGCCTGCTCCGTCGTCTTGCCCACCAGCACTTCCAGGATGGGCTGCACCTCCAAGTCGAAGTCAAATAGCTGCCGAATGAATAACAAGGTTTTTTTATAACATAAGGTTGACAAATGAGCACATTGTCCACCTGATGTAAGGGGATGATGTGATCCATAAAAATCTACATATATCCTCGATTAAGAAACAAAATACAGATGCGTTGTCACCCCTGAACACTCTAAATTAAGTAAATAAATATAGCTCGAAGAACCGATAACCGATGGAGAAAAAAGTTCTTGAGACAGCTTTGTATATGTAAGCGAATTATATACGATATTCCAATGGATGTAGTGACGACCTACTAAGATACGCAGGTGATGAAAGCACAGCACCAGGTTTTATGATATTCGTTGGGGAAAGCCTATTTAGCAGTGGACTTGAGGACTGTGATGATGACGACAGTGAAGTAAAGTTATAGCCTATATACTTTCCACTGCTGGGCGCATACCTCTTCTAATGTCCATTTCTATTAATCCATTAATTCTTTGAAAGACTTCTCTAATGCGTGTTTATGGGTATCACATTTATATATTTTTATTATTCGGGCATTCAGTTTTATTGACGATGTTTTTCTTTACCGACTGAGCACGTAGTGAATCGGTCCTTAAAATTACAATTTACAGTTTCATTGGTTGCGACGAGGATTCCGGGTTGCTCGTGTAGGCTATAAATTTCATAGTGTATCAAGCATTTAAGGTGAGGCCCTTAGCTACTACGACTTGGAATAAGAAATTGACTTTAATAAGAAATTTTAGTAAATATTTCAGAAAAGAATATTTTTAATTAATTTCTTTATTTCATAAAATATTATGTATAGGCGGACTTAATTTTTAAAATTCTCTACGAGTCAACTATCGGATGACGCAGTGATAAACATATAAAGTCATGTGTAAAATGTTAAGAGATAGAAATATGAATTACAACTCATTATTAATTTTCAACTGATTAACACAAACTATCAACTGAAAATTAATAATGAATTGACAAGATCAAATCAAGATTTATGAGGCATTCCATCTTAGTCCTCACGGGTGACAACGCATCTACATTTTCATTTGTAATAGAGGATAGATGTAGATATCTATGGGTCGCAGCAACCACTTACCATCAGGTGGACTGTGTGCTCGTTTGTCACCCTAATCATATAAAAAAAAGAAGTCGCAGCGGCGTTTGAGAAATATTTCACTGATATTCCTATTTTGATAACACAGTCATTGAATACTTCTCCAACTGTCGCCGAGTCATTACTCAAACAGAATGTTAATACCTGTTCAAATGAATTTAGATTTGAAAAAGCGTTACCACAAGATAATGTAAAATATTTCAAAACCCTTGATGTAAAGAAAACCACAGATTTATGAGGGATTTCTATTACAGTTATTGCGTCCATAATAGATTTAACTGGACCTCATCTTGTTATTATTATTAATACCAGTATCGAATCTGGTGTGTTTTCAGACTTAAGGAAACATAGTAAAGTAATAATTTTATTTAAATCTGGTAGTACAAGGACTCCGCTAATTTTAGACCTATTTCTGTACTATCAACTCTCAGTAAATTTTTTGAAAAAATAATTTTAGATCAATTGTAAATTTTTTTAATAAAAATAAATTACTCCATTAAAATCAGTTTGGTTTCATAAGGGGTCGGCCAACGACGGACGCAGGTGTTGAGTTTATGAAATATATTTTCAATGCCACAAGATGCCTTAGGTCAGAAGTATTAGGCTTAGAACCGCAGTAGGCGCACGCAAAGTGAAGTCATTTCAAGTTAGCCTTTAAAGGCTAAGTACGACTTTTGGCGCGTTAGTAATCGAGTCCACGTAGTCGTAGTAGTAGCATCTTATATTTTTGTAAAAAAACATTCATCAAAACAAAATAATAAATAAGAAATTTGACAGACGCCAATATAATGAAAATGTTGCTAGGCATAGTAAAATATTTTACCCCATTTTTAAAAATACATACAAAATGCCAATAGTCTCATTAACATATAAATGGGTATTTTTATTTGCAAAAAATATTATTAGGGTTCCCATTTGCCACGAAAAAAGATATGTTGATTTTATTTTGTTTTGACAATGTGCAGTTGTTTTTATCTTTTTATGGTATGTGTTTTAGGATAAATAACATAGCCTATGATTATTTTTTTATTCTAATTTACATATATTTAACATTTTTAGTTCGATTCTTTTATGAATCTAAAAAAGATAACATTTTGAGGATAGCGTCATCAAAGCGGCAGTTGTTTAGAAAACAGTTGCAGTTTCAGGGTCATTAAGAGATATTTTTAAAGTACTTGAGTATATTTTATTTTATATTTTTTAATAATCGTTTTAATATCATGTTTTATTTGAATAGTTATCTCTTTCCGAATCTTATTTTGTTTTAATGCAAAACATAATATCCAATAAAGTAATAATAATATTCACTTGAAGCTGACCGCAATCTTAAGTCTCGTGATTCCTTCTAATATTATATCCATTCTGTGAAAGTTGTATGTTGTAACCTTTATGTTGAAACCGATTTAAATTAAATATATTACTTAGATTCTTAGAATGGCAAGAATCGAGATCAGTGTATGCTTTAATATGCGGGTGAAGCTGCGGGCCACAGCCAAAGTTAGTAAGGAATAACTAATGAAAAATTTCTGACAGCTAAAATTATTATCTAACAACTATTCACTTGTTAATTGTAAGTGGGACTGGATTGGAAAAACTGGAAGAAATAGACTTAGGTATTTGCCTCCTCCATTTCTTCCACTTCTCTATATATCATAGAATAAGGAGATTGAGTATTAATTAAAAATTAACATTTATAAGATTTTATGGAAGATAAATAACAAATATTTATATGAATATACCACTCCTAACAGAATAATATAATTACATAATAGATTTGCGAAAATAACACAAGATATTATGTATATAAATAATTTAAATATTACACAAGTTAACAAAAATAAATAATGTTACATTTTTCTCTTTGCAAATGATTTTCTCTTTGAAATAATTATAAACGCAACCTAAATATTAATTCTATGACGATGTCTACTATTACATTTTCCCCACTTTTTGGGGAAAATGTCCCCAAAAAGTGGGGAAAATGTCATTAACTTGCAAACATTACTCATTTGCTTGTGTGCGTGTGGGCAAACGTAATTACAGGCCGCTTATGCACACATTCATTGTGTAGTTGCTTCAACTTTGAACGGAATTTTGAATGTCACTATCACTCTATGTGTAATTACTCTAAGCCTTAGGTATTTTTTGTAATGTTTTCATGGCTTTTGATTGTGTTCATCGTGATATATTAATCGAAAAACTACATCATTACGGTGTCAAAATATTGCGCTTAGATTTGTTATGTCATATTTAAATAACAGAACTCAAAAAGTCGTCATCAATGGTAAAGTTTCCTCTGGATCGGTAGTATCAATGTGCGTACCTCAGGGCTCGATTCTTGGCTTATTCCTGTTCTTAATCTATATTAATGACTTACCTTATCCTGTAGGGGATTTGCTGATGATACCTCTTTAATTTTCAAAGTCAAACGACAGTCAATTAATTTTAACAATGTAAATAATGCTCTATCGATATTAGTACATTGGTGTAACGCCCAAAATTTGCTCTTAAACGGAAATAAGGCAAAATGTATTAAATTTAAAATACCTAATATTTTAAACATTCCAAATACCAATGTGCTCTTAAATGGGTAGGAATTGAGTCTTGATACCATTGCTTTTCTTGGTATTACTATTGACACGAAGCTTCAATGGGGCCTCCAAATATCTAAATTAGCAGGCAGACTTAGTTCTGCAGCATATGCTGCAAGAACGATTAGAAGTCCCATCAATGTTGAGACATCTAGATTAGTTTATTTTTATTACTTTCATAGCGTGATGGCTTATGGAATTTTTCTATGGGGTAATGCGACTGATATTGAAGCCATATTTGTTTTGCAAAAGAGAGCCGTATGGGCGATTTATAACTTAAATTGTAAAGAGTCCCTTCGAGAACAATTTAAAGAAATAAAAATCCATGTCCATAAAAACATAAATAGATTTGATAAGAATAAAGATGTCCTTACTTTAATCACTGGGAACAAACAAGCTTGTAATACCAGTTACTTCACTCCACGGAATTAGTAATTCATTTATGAGGCAATATATACTTTTACAACAAACTACAACAAAATCCCAGAAATGTACAAAATTTGTCAATAAACAAGTTTAAATGTTTTATTAAAGAAAAATTGTATAAAGGGTTTATTATAATATCAAAGAATACATAAATGAAAATAACTCCTGGGAATGAGGTGATCGCCACCATGCTGGTTCTATTAAAAATCAATTAAAAATTGTGCAAACAAAATTATTGCAAAATGAAATATGCCTTAAAAATGTACCACTGGGTTTCTTTCTGGTTCTTCCCAGGACAGAAGTTGTTTCCGAACCAGTGGTAAATAAAAAATTAATTTCAATAGGTATTATGTAATAGTCTACATTGAATAAAACTAATCTATTCCATTCTGTCCTATTCAGCAATTGATTTTTGTATATAGAGATATGCGTAATATTATGTAGATATAAACCTTAATAAATTATATATATTTACAAAAATAAAAATAAGATGATTCTGCAGTTCATTCAAATAATGTTCGTGTACTTTCTTTTTGAATACGTTATGATCTAGAAAAATATACATAATGTATATAAATGTATATTTTTGTTTCTTTATTAAATGTTTGAATTATATACTCACATCTCCCGGATATATCTGGGTGTACGCGTCGGCGCCCGTTTTCGCAGGCACGTAGATAGGAGTTGCAGGCCGGTCCAGGAACAGATCCGTTTGGACGCCCACCTCCATTTCAACGCCTTTATCAAATAGCTAGACACGTAAATTTAACGTTATAAATATGTTTGTACGAGTACGTCTCAATCAGGAGTAAGTTATGGATAACTTATGTATTTGTAATGTGTAATATGGTTTTGTTGTTGATATATATTGTGATCAGAGAACTATCGAGAAGGCTAAGCTTAGAGTTTCTCTGTGTGATAGAATCCGTCACAATGATATCCGAAATAGAACTAGAGCAACCGACATAGCCTTACGGATCAGTAAGTTGAAGTAGCAATGGTTCAGCTATAAGCTTGACGAATTGACAACCGATGCGGAAGGTTCTCAAGTGGCAGCCCGATGGCTGAATGATTTAGGAAAATTGATCTTAATATAATAACGGACTAGTTATGGGAAGCAGTATGAAACGTACTAAGGTACCATTGTACTCACCAACACCGTATTGGCAACGTTTTTAGGTTATGCAGGCCATTTGGTGCACTTTTAGAAAGGCTAATATTGATCTTCCTTAAATGTCGTGTTCGGCAGGTGGCTTGACGATCGTAGTGCCACTGTCAGTCTCGCACCTCTGACGCTGCTACCAGTCGTGCGTCTGTCGTTAACAAAATTATTACACCGCCATCTATCGGAAGCCATGAGATCGCGCACAAGGGAAGAAAATGGGACGATGGCAGCTATATCGATTAGTGGCTATAAAAAGGTGGATGTGAATTCTACGGCGGTTGCGTGTGCTTCACTGCAGTCACGTGTGTGGTACGTGTAGCTGGGGCTGCCAACCATAATAATTTTATTTTTTGTTAATACCAGTATTCAACTTTATTTCTCTCTTTAATATTTTGTACTGTTCTTTAAAAAAAAAGTTTACAAAATACTGTTTTTATCATCGCCGGTATCCGGAGCCATAAAACCTGAAATAGAGCTTTTATTAATTTAATAAAAAATGAGCTCCTTAATAAGTTTGGGTCAAATTAGGCAGAGGCTTTTGAATATTTTAAAATAAATACATTTTTTATTTGCCACAAATATTTTAACAAATAAATGGAAACCAGTGTTAATGCCAAATTGTATCTTAAAAACTCATATTCTGGCGACTTATGAATAAACAGAATTCGGTAAAACAATAACAAATAATTAACGGAAGAAGCGCCAAGATATTATGTTTTAATAACATTAAAAAAATACAGTATATTTTTCTAAAACACTGCAAATTTTTCTAAAATACTTTTATTTTAGTTCTCCAACCTTAAAATACGGGGTTATTTTTCAGAGTAGTCGAATTTTGTACTACTCTTTGAACCCCGTATAATATTTTTGCAGTTTTCAAAATACGAGTAAATAATGCTCCTACGTTTTCTTAAAATTATCTCAAATTGAATGTGATTTATGGGTAACAACTACAAGTACGCGTGTTCCTTTGTGTGTGATTTAATTCACAACGTTTTTGCCGACCGATCAACTCTTACGAATGTGTGCGTGCGTAGTAAAATAGTAGGCGTTAGATATTTATTAATGGCAATTAGTTCAAATAATACATTACTACGCATTCTAAATTTTAAAGATGAAAAGAATAGAATGTGGTTACTAGATGTGATAATTCAGATTGTTTTTTTATTAATTTTTCTTCACTGTTCGCATATATGACTTATTCTGAGCCTTCTCCGCAAATTTGACCGTGTAGTGCAAAATAAGCGTGTATACTTTATATCTCGTACAGAGAGTTGGCAACCCTACGTGTAGCGTGCGTGATGCGTGGTGCGTGGTGCGTACCTCTTGGATATAGTGGTCGGTCTGCACGGGCAGGTGGTGGCGCGTGGGAGCGGGCGGTGGCGAGCAGGTTGGCAACCCTACGTGTAGCGTGCGTGACGCGTGGTGCGTGGTGCATGGTGCGTGGTGCGTGGTGCGTACCTCCTGGAGATAGTGGTCGGTCTGCAAGGGCAGGTGGCGGCGCGCGGGCTCTGGTGGCGGCGACCCGGTTGGCAACCCTACGTGTAGCGTGCGTGATGCGTGGTACGTGGTGCGTGGTGCGTGGTGCGTACCTCCTGGAGATAGTGGTCAGTCTGCACAGGCAGGTGGCGGCGCGCGGGCGCGGGCGGCGGCGAGCCGGGCCGAAGCCGCGCCAGCGCCGCGCGCCGAGCCAGAGCTCGTCTCCGCGACCGGCTCGCACCATCGCCCTGAAACAACACACAAACAACCAGTTTTAATTAAACATGTAAAAATTCATTAAAATAATTAGTATAATTAATAGAATCAGGCGTTACTTTGCGGAAATCCATTATATAAAAGCTTTTACAAAAATTTACTTCGCAAATATCCGCGTTATAAAATAAAATGATGTGTCTTACCTAGTATGAAGAAGCACCTCCCGCCCTCCCTCAATTGCGTGCACTATCCCCGTCACCACTAATCCCAGCACCGCTACTTCCAACACCACTACACTAGGCAAGACACACCACTGACGATAATACGACACGTGTTTCGCCTCTACACGAGGCATCCTCAGGTGATATAGACTCTACGGTGGCTAACCGCTAAGGTATCGTCAGTGGTGTGTCTTGCCTAGTGTAGTGGTGTTGGAAGTAGCGGTGCTGGGATTAGTGGTGACGGGGATAGTGCACGCAATTGAGGGAGGGCGGGAGGTGCTTCTTCATACTAGGTAAGATACATCATTTTATTTTATAGTAGTTGACTTAGCGGTTAGCCACCGTAGAGTCTATATCACCTGAGGATGCCTCGTGTAGAGGCGAAACACGTGTCGTATTATCGTCAGTGGTGTGTCTTGCCTAGTGTAGTGGTGTTGGAAGTAGCGGTGCTGGGATTAGTGGTGACGGGGATAGTGCACGCAATTGAGGGAGGGCGGGAGGTGCTTCTTCATACTAGGTAAGACACATCATTTTATTTTATAACGCGGATATTTGCGAAGTAAATTTTTGTAAAAGCTTTTATAAAATAATTAGTGTCCGACCGAAACAGGATTTTCAACCTTCGGTCTGAGTATCAGTTTCGGCCGAAACCGATGTCGAAACTTATTTAGACATGTTAATTGTTTTTATTGTATACTGAAATCTGGTATATTTTTATACATATACAGATAGTTAATGCATTTTAATGAAAAACAGTCATTGTAATAGTCATGTAGCAATATATTTAATTATTTCAAAGTAAAAATCAAATTAAGAAATACATTTTTAAATCATTTTGTTAAAAAAATCAACACTTAAACCCATAAAAAGTTTTTGTTTTTTTGAGTTTAATTGAGAACATATTTTACTGTGTTCACAATATTGTTAATATTATTCAATGAGAGCATTAACTTAATATATCACACTCACACACTTACACACAATATACACACAACTTAACAAAATCTCAGAAAATATACAAAACTTGCTCAAAGTTCAAAAACTTTAATAAATTAAGTTTGTATAAAAACTGAAAGTAGGGAAATTTGGAATAGGGCAACGGAACCCAAGGGGCCAGCAGCTGGCCGACTTCATGGAGAAAGAGGGACTCTTTATGATGAACTCTTTCTTCCAGAAGCGGCCCCACAGGAAGTGGACCTGGTCGAGCCCCGACGGTTCGACAAAAAATGAGATTGACTTCATTATGACGACCAGACGACAACTGTTCAGTGATGTCTCAGTGATCGCGAGGGTGAAAACCGGCAGCGATCACCGAATGGTTAGAGGCACACTGAACCTAAACGTTAAGTTGGAGAGGTCTCGTCTAATGAAGTCAACGCTCCGTCCCCCTCGTGCTCTAATCCAAAGTCCCGAAACCTTTCAGCTCGAGTTACAAAACCGTTTTCAGTGCCTAGAAGACTGCAATGAAGTAGACGATTTGAATGACAAGCTCGTGGAAACTGTCCATGCGGTCGGAGCTAAGTTCTGCAAGACCCGCCGCAGAAGAACATAAAAACTCTCCGATCACACTCTTAATCTCATGGCTGTTAGACGGGAGATGAAGCTACATTCTTCAACAGATTTAACAGCATACAAGCAACTGAACAGACAGATCTCCAAATGCATGCGGCGGGACTTACGCAAATTCAATACAGCTCGTATTGAAGAAGCGATCGAGCGGAACCAAGGCTCCAAAGTCTTTGCCAGAGATCTGTCTGCCAGAAAGCGCCAACTGTCAAAGCTGAAGACAGAATGTGGCAGCATCGTTTCCGGGGCACCTGAGATTTTGAGTGAGATTGAGAGGTTCTATGGGCAGCTGTACACGTCATCGTTGGAGCCGCACGCAAGTGTGAGTAACGATCCAAGAGCGAGTCTTATCCGACATTATTCCGATGATATCCCGGACGTCAGGCTGAGCGAGATTAGAATGGCTCTCCAGCACCTTAAAAACGGCAAGGTTCCAGGCGAGGATGGAATTACAGCGGAGCTTCTGAAAGCGGGTGGAAAACCGGTACTTGAAGTCCTTCAGAAGCTCTTTAATTCCGTCCTTCACGGTGGCATTACATCGGAGGCGTGGAGCAGAAGTGCGGTGGTCTTGTTCTTCAAGAAAGGCGACAACGCTCTCTTGAAGAACTACAGACCGATTTCCCTTCTGAGCCGCGTCTACGTGCTGTTTTCGAGAGTCATTACGAATCGTCTCGCGCGCAGACTTGACGACTTCCAGCCTCCCGAACAAGCCGGTTTCCGAAAAGGCTTTAGCACCATAGACCACATACATACCCTTCGGCAAATTGTACAGAAGTCCGAGGAGTACAATTTGCCACTATGTCTGGCGTATGTGGACTATGAGAAAGCCTTTGATTCCGTCGAAATTTGGGCGGTGCTGCAGTCCCTTCAGCGATGCCAAGTTGACTGTCGGTATATCGAAGTGTTGAAGTGCTTGTACAGTAGGGCTACGATGGCTATCCGAGTACAGAACCAGAGTACGAAACCTATCCAATTGCAGAGAGGTGTAAGACAGGGTGACGTCATATCCCCGAAACTCTTTACCGCTGCATTGGAAGATGTTTTCAAGCTTCTGGACTGGAAAGGATACGGTATCAACATCAATGGCGAGTACATCACTCACCTTCGATTTGCCGACGATATAGTCCTTATGGCAGAATCGCTGGAGGACCTAAGCACTATGCTCAATGACCTCAATAGTGTTTCCCAACGGATAGGTCTTAAGATGAACATGGACAAAACAAAGATCATGTTTAATGTCCATGTCACACCTATGCCGGTAGTTGTTGGGAACACTAAGCTCGAAGTTGTTGACGAGTATGTTTACCTGGGACAAATAGTCTGACTAGGTAAGTCCAACTTCGACCGAGAGGTCAATCGACGGATTCAACTCGGTTGGGCAGCGTTCGGGAAATTACGGCACATCTTCTCGTCAGGTATACCTCAAAACTTGAAAACGAGACTGTACACCCAGTGCGTGTTGCCAGTGATGACATACGGAACTGAGACGTGGTCCTTCACTGCTGGCCGGATGAGGAAGCTCAAGGTCGCTCAGCGAGCTATGGAGAGGGCTATGCTCGGAGTTTCTCTGCGTGATAAACTCAGAAATGAGGATATCCGCAGTAGAACTAGAGTGACCGACATAGCCCAACGGATTAGTAAGCTGAAGTGGCAATGGGCCGGCCATATAGCTCGAAGAACCGACAACCGATGGGGAAGAAAGGTTCTCGAGTGGCAGCCTCGTACCGGCAGGCGAAGTGTAGGGCGTCCCCCCACTAGATGGAGTGACGACCTGGTAAGATATGCAGGAAGTCGTTGGATGCAGGTGGCTCAGGACCGTGCTTTGTGGCATTCTTTGGGGGAGGCCTATGTTCAGCAGTGGACTTGTGAAGGGCTGTAATGATGATGATGATGATGATGTATAAAAACAGTTATTATAATATTATGGAATTTATGAATGATAATAACCCTTGGGAATGAGGTGATCACTACCAAGCTATTTCTAATTTGTTTTGTGTTGTTAATTGTGTTACATACATGATGGTAAGCAGTGGCGTAGCTAGGCGTGGGCAAAGTGGGCCCTCGCCCATGGCATCGCAATTAAAGGGGCCTCGCGAGGCCCCCTAAAATGCGATGCCCCACACTTTACCAAGATGACTAATTAATTTGATCACTTTTACGCTCGAAAAAGAAAGTCACAAATTTAAGTGCGTTTGTTAGGCAAGGAGCCCCTCTTAAGTGCGACTGCGAGGCCGTTGTAACTACCTTCAAAGACCGCGATTGTTACATTGACGGAATACGAGACTTGTCAGGAATTAATAGATATGAGTGGGTATGTCGTATCAAAGCATGTTTGGTAGGATAGATATATTGGGTATTGGGAACGAAAGAAAAAGGGTCTCACTGATTCAACCTAGGCCACTTTTCCTTAGCGTGGGTGCTCAGGCTGCCTCACGTATCCCTGGGGAGGGGGGGGGGTTATGAAATTCCGCTTAACATTAATACTGCTCGTGGAAAGTAGAACAATAAGACAAAGGTAAAGTAATAAGTAAAGACAAAGACCCCTTCCTGCCTGCAACATCGGGGGATTTCATTCGAATGTTAACAAAGTCCACTAGGTACCATCTGAAGACGGTGAATCTGAACTTATTCTTTCTAACCGACACGCAGGTGTCCCCTCCGGTCGATACTACTATCCTATCCGGGCTACAGTTTGCGTATACGTCAGATAGTACACTTGTTCTCGACGCCTTGGTAGTCTTGAAGGTCAGCAACGACCATCCTCATCCATCCAAACAATTTGTTGTAAACAATTTTGCGCTTAAACTTATTACTTCATATTTAAGTAACAGAACTCAAAAAGTCGTCATTAATGGTAAATGTTCCTCCGGATCGGTAGTATCAATGGGCGTTCCTCAGGGCTCGATTCTTGGCCCATTCCTGTTCTTAATCTATATTAATGACTTACCTTATCTTGTAGGGGACAATCACGATATAGTATTATTTGCTGACGATACCTCTTTAATTTTCAAACTGAAACGGCAGTCAATTAAATATGACGATGTAAATAATGCTCTATCGAAACTAGTACATTGGTTTAACGCCAACAATTTGCTCTTAAACGGCAATAAGACAAAATGTATTAAATTTACAATACCTAATGTAAAACATTCGAAAACCAATGTGCTCTTAAATGGGGAGGAGTTGAGTCTTGTGGATACCACTGTTTTTCTCGGTATTACTATTGACGCGAAACTTCAATGGGG